GGAGGAGGAGGAGGAGGAGGAGGAGGACGACGACGACGACTGTGGGGTCCTTGGTGCTCTCCGATCTTGGTGGTTTTCTTGCAGACATTTCATGACCCAACTAGGGGACATCATCAGTGTTAGAAGTGAATGGGATCTGCAGGAAGGAGCAGGAGAAAGAGGAAGAAGGGGGGGAGAAGGAGGATGACTGTGTGGTCCTTGGTGCTGAACTTGATAGCTTTTTTGCAGATGTTTCATCACCCAACTAGGTAACTTCATCAGTGCCAGAAAGAATGGGATTTGCAGGGAGGAGGAGGAGGAGGAGGTGGAGGAAGAAGAGGAGGAGGAGGAAGAGGAGGAGGAGGAAAATAATGATGAGAACAACTGTGGGGTCCTTGGTGCTCTCTGAGCTTGGTGGTTTTCTTGCAGATATTTCATGAATCTACAATGTGCCAGAAATGTTCCTTAGTTGGGTGATGAAACACCTGCAAGAAAACAGCCAAGCTCAGAGAGCACCAAGGACTCCACCATCCTCTTCCTCCTCCTCTCCCCTTCATGACTTGCGGACTTCAACTCCCAGAATTCCTGATCCAGTGTGCCTGGCTGAAGAATTCTGGGAGTTGAAGTCCACAAGTCATAACAGGGCCAAGTTTGAAGACCCCTGTCCTGGACTTAACAACGGTTCGTTTAATGACCATGTAACGTTACAACGGCACTGAAAAACGCGACCGTTTTTCACACTTTAGCAACCGTTGCAGCATCCTCACAGAGTCACGTGATCAAAATTCAGGCACTTGGCAACCGACTCGTATTTATGACGGTCGCTGTGTCCCCGGGTCATGTGATCCCCTTTCACGACCTTTTGACAAGTCAACGGGGAAGCTGGGTTCCTTTAACAGCTCTGTTGCTAACCAAGCAACTGCAGTGATTCGTTTACCAACTGTGGCAAGGAAGGTCATATGGCTCAATTGCGGTCATAAATCAAGGATCACCTGTTTTTATTAATGCGTTGCCTTTTTTCGCCTTTGTGAAACTTTCAAAAGTTTCTTGATTCAAGAGCCCCTTAAACTTTTATTTTCTACGACTCACTTATCATCCCCACTGCTGGTGGCGGCTGTGGATGATGTGCATGGTAGTCCAGCGTTATTGGGGGGAAGGCTACTGCCACCGTGGCACAACAGTCAAACAATTTGTCTGAAATGGTATAGGGTTTCCTGTCTGAGCAGGGGGTTGGACTAGATGACCTCCAATGTACCTTCCAACTTTATTATTATTATTATTACTGTTATTCATTAGACATGAACCTCATGTCTGAATATTCAAATTGGCTGGTGCTGATGATTGACACGGGTTGCTATAATAATAATAATAATAATAATAATAATAATAATAATAATAATAGAGAAAGTCATAGAAAATGATAAAGTTAAACTGCTCTGGAACTTCAGAATTCAAACAGACAAGCACCTGCAACATAACACCCCAGACTTAACAATTGTCGATAAGAAAGACAAAAAAGTCTGGATAGTGGACGTGGCAGTGCCTGGAGATAGCAGAATGGAAGAGAAAGAACTGGAGAAGATAACAAAATACAAAGACCTACAAATAGAAATAGAAAGACTGTGGCAAAAGCAAGCAAGGGTAGTACCAATAGTCATAGGCTCCTTGGGTGCAATCCCAAAACAACTGGAGCACCACTTGAACACATTGGCATTGACAAATTCGCTATTAGTCAATTGCAAAAGGCGGCCTTACAAGGAACTGCTTCCATCCTGCGACGATACCTGTAATACCATCAAACATCCACATCTGCCTATCCCAGGTCCTGGGTAAGGACTCGATAGGTAGACAAAATGCCAAATCCAGTCTGAACATCTGGCTGACTGTGCGTTGATTGATGATAATAATAATAACACAAAGAATGTGAAAACCTCCAGAAGACAAATTGTGACTCCACCAGCTGTTGCACGATTATTGTTCCTGGCGTGCTGCTACTAATTTCATAATTTTTTTTTGTTGCAATTTTGGGGGGAGGCTGGAAAAAAGTAGCCTTAAAATTCGCTCTTGCTGGATCCGTTCACAGCGGTTGCTGAAACCAGACCCAAACTTTGCAGTGGCGTCTCTACATTGGACAGCGCTTGTGTGTCTGTGAGTGTATGAGTGTGTGTCTCTGCCTGTTGCACAAAACAGGACAGACCGTCCTTTCGTGACCCCGAGACGCTGCGACCGTCATAAATAGGAACCTGTTGCCAACTGTGCCACGTTGGGTCATGTGATCATGGGGTGGGGGGGTGCTGCAAAGGTCGTAGGTGTGAAAACTGGTCATAAGTCACTTTTTTCATTGCTGTTATAACTTTGAACGGTCACTAAATGGACGGTCGTACACTGAGGAATACTGGTATGTGCTCTTCCTCCTTATGGCTGAGCAGGGTTGAGGAGGAGGAAGAGGGAGGGGAGACAGAGGGGTCCTTGGTGCTCTCTGAGCTTGGCGGTTTTCTTGCAGACGTTGCATGATCCTACTAGGGAACATCATCAGTGCTAGAAAGGGATGGGTGTGTGAAGAGGAGAGAGGAGGAGGAGGAGGAGGAGGAAGAAGAAGACTGTGGGGTCCTTGGTGCTCTCTGAGCTTGACTGTTTTCGTGTAGACATTTCATGACCAAACTAGGGAACAACATCAGTGCTAGAAGGGAACAAGTTTTGCAAGAGTAGGAGGAGGACTATGGATTCCTTGGTGCTCTCTGAGCTTGCTTGTTTTCTTGAAGACATTTCATGACCCAAGTAGGCAACATCATCAATGCTAGAAGGGAGGGTGGCTTGCAGGGAGCAGGAGGAAGCAGCAGCAGAAAAGGACTGTGGGGTCCTTGATGCTGTCTGAGCTGGGCTGTTTCCTTGCAGACATTTCATGACCCAACTAGGGAACATCACTAGGGCTAGTTACTATCTAGTGATGTTACTATTCACTTAACAAATGCCTTGCTTAGCAAAGGAAATTCTGATCCCAGTTCTGGTCATAAGTGAAGGACTATCATTGTTTTGTGGCTTATCGTATAGTGCAATGGTTCTCAACCTTTTTAATGCCGCGACCCCCAACCGGTCGTAAGTCGAGGACTACTCAACTGGTGCAGCATCGTTTGCAGAATGGGACTTTTGGCGGGCTCAGCAGGGCAGAGACAGCCTGGACAATAGCCAATAGAATTAGACTCTATTCAAGAGAGTCTATTCTATTGGCTTTCGAAAGCCAAGAGAATAAAAGGGAGTAGCACAGCTAAGGAAAGGGGGAAAAAAATGGCAGACTGTGTTGTTTGGCGACCCCCATGAAATGGTCGTTCGACCCCAAATGGAGTCCCGACCCACAGGTTGAGAACCACTGGTATAGTGTGAATTCAGACCTTGAGAATTCAGCCTCCTGTGAACATCCAGGAAATGGGTTCATGAAGCGAGCAGGCTAAAGGGGTGTGTGTGTGCCTAAACCCAGCTATTGGGAGGGAGTTATGGTTCAGACATTGAGCCCTGAGTCAGAAAATCCCTGGCTGGTCTCTTTCTCTAGCTTGCATGCCTTATGAACAACCCAGAGTGACATCCCCTGTGTTGTGCTATCTTTGTGCATATGAGCTCAAGGGTGCGATTTGCACAAATCACATCCCCTGGACCATTTGCGTGACGTCATTGTATGATAACATCACATGTAAAACATGTGAAGAAAAGCTGCAGGAATTGGGAATGTCTAGTTTAATGAAAAGAAGGACCAGGGGGGACAGGATAGCATCTTCCAGTATTGGAGAGGCTGCCCCAAAGAAGAAGGGGGGGGTCACCCTCTTCTCCAAAGCCCCTGAAGGCAGGACAAGAAATAACAGAAACTCATCAAGTAGAGAAGCAGCCTGGAACTAAGGAGGAATTCCCTGATAACGAGAACAATTAATCAGTGGAACAGAAGTGGTAGGTGCTCCAATACTAGAGCTATTTAAGAAGAAACTGGACAGCCATTTAACCAGGATGGTATAAAGTCTCCTGGCATGGGGTTGCACTAGAAGACCTCTAAGGTAATAGTAGTAATAATAACAATAAGATTAACATTAACTAATAATGATGATGAAGAAGAAGAAGAAGAAGAAGAAGAAGAAGAAGAAGAAGAAGAAGAAGAAGAAGAAGAAGAAGAAGAAGAAGAAGAAGAAGAAGAAGAAGAAGAAGAAGAAGAAGAAGTTGGAAGGGACCTTGGAGGTCATCTGGTCCAACCCCCTGCTCAGGCAGGAAACCCTATACCATTTCAGACAAATGGCTGTCCAATCTCTCCTTACAACCTGCTTCTGGAGGCAGGTTGTTCCACTGGTTAATTGTTCTCACTATCAGGAAGTTTCTCCTTAGTTCCAGGTTGCTTCTCTCCTTGATGAGTTTCCATCCGTTGCTTCTTGTCCTGCCTTCAGGCGCTTTGGAGAATAGCTTGACTCCCTCTTCTTTGGGGCAGCCCCTGAGATATTGGAAGGCTGCTATCCTGTCCCCCCTCGTCCTTCTCTTCCTTAAACTGGACATCCCCAATTCCAGCAACCGTTCCTTGTATGTTTTAGCCTCCAGTCCCCTGATCATCTTTGTTGCTCTTCTCTGCACTCTTTCCAGAGTCTTTTCTAGGTCCTTTCCAGGTCTGTTATTTGACCCCTTCTCCATCCCTAACCCCAGACCTCCTAGATTTGAGCCTTCGTCTATGCTGGGTGCAGCGTTTTCTCGAATGGGGGGAACTGGGTGGGCGGCTGTTGCCACAGATGTGCACCTGCTACAGTTGGAAGCCCCTGGGCCTCTGCCAGGGGTGGCCCCAGCCAGATGACCGGGATGCTTCCCTCCCAGGCCAGGCTGACCTTGGACCCTTGGGGATTCAGTGGGAAAAGCCCTGGGCAGGATCACTTCAGCCAAGGGTGAGTCCCTGGGGGGGGGGACGTACCGTTGTGTGTGCGTGGGTTGTGCATGCACCCCTGACTAGCAGAGGCCGGCTGGTGACCCCAGGCTTCTCTTCTGCTCTTCCTGCCCCACAGAACCTCAGCTGAAAGGGATCGTGACCAGATTATTCAGCCAGCAGGAATTCTTCCTACAGATGCACCCGGATGGAACTATTGACGGGACCAAGGACGAAAACAGCGACTACAGTGAGTGTATCCCATACACCAGTGTTTCCCAAACTTGACAATTTTAAGGCATGTGGACTTCAACTCCCAGAATTCCACAGCCAGCGTTGCTGGCTGTGGAATTCTGGGAGTTGAAGTCCTCATGCCTTAAAATTGTCAAGTTTGGGAAACACTGCCATACACACACATATATACTACCCTTGTTTTTCTGCCCTCCCGTACCTCAGTTCCCTAAGAAGCCCCAGGTTCTTTCGGCTGTTTTTATTTATTAAACAAGGAAGGTGTTAAATTATGGCCCAGGCAGCTGTTTCCTGCATGCGGCTGAATTGTCAGCGCTTCCCCTTTAAATAAAATCTCTCCTGCATCCTTATTCACCCTTTTTTTTGTTTTTTGTTTTTAAAATGCCTGGGTCCTGATGTTTGAGCGGCAGAGAATAAAAGGGGTACAACGGAGCCTGGAGTTTATGTTGTAAAGTGAGACATTTGTTAAGGGAGTTTTGCCTCGTTTGATCGACCCTCCCTTTCCACATTCGGTCATTGAAACCCTGCAGGTGTTAAATTAGTCACACAGTTGTTAAATGAATCCAGCCTTCCCCCCTCCCCTAATTAATTGACTTTCGCGTGTTGGGAAGTCACAAAAGGAGGTCACGTGACCCTGAGACGCTGCAACCGTCATAATTGTGAGTCAGTTGCAGAGAGGGTGCCGCCGCCTTGGGTCCTCTGCCTTCTCTCTTCCCCCTGCCAAGATCGTTAGTTAAGCAGCATTTAATTCCGGTGCCTGCTTAATTGAGCTGATTTATGATGAGGTTCAGCTCTTGGGGGCCCTTGGTTTCCAGTTTTTTATTGCTTTTCGCAGGGCGTTTAGCCTGACAGCCTGGTGGTTAATTATGGATTCTTGGGGCTCTCGTTGTTGTATGGGAGGGGAAAGCTGGCAGTCAGGGTTTTGCTTCTTTATTTATTTTTATGTATTTTTTCTTACATTGGGCCTCCAGGTCAGTCTTGACTCTTGGAAAACTCAGCCCTGTAGTTTTCTTAGCAAGGTTTTCCAGGTTGGTTCTGGCTTTCTTCTTCCTGTAGTCGCCCTCTGAGGGAGGACTGGCCCAGGGTCACCATCTGGCTGTACGTCCCAGGCAAACAAACCTGCGATTGTTGTTTTTTTTATTATTTCCCTTTATTATTTCCACAAATAACTCAAAGGACATATCTGACACAGCTCCTCCTTTCTATTTTCCTCACAACAGCCTGAGAGGTGTGTTAGGCTGAGAACTAGAACTCACCGTCTCCCGGTGATTGGCCCAAAGTCACCCAGCTGGATTTCATGGCTAAGGCGGGACTAGAACTCACTGTCTCCCAGTGATTGGCCCAAAGTCACCCAGCTGGCCTTCATGGCTAAGGCGGAACTAGAATTCACCATCTCCCGGTGATTGGCCCAAAGTCACCTAGATGCCTTTCATGTTTAAAGCGGGACTAGAACTCACCATCTCCTGGTGATTGGTCCAAAGTCACCCAGCTGGCTTTTGTGGCTAAGGCGGAACTAAAACTCACAGTCTCCTGGTGATTGGACCAAAGCCACCCAGCTGGCTTTCATGGCTAAGGTGGGACCAAAACGAGTTGGGGTTGCCCAGATTCGGCTGGTATCCCAGTTACAAGTCTGTTTGAAGCTGGATCCTTTGGTGACATCACTTAACACTCTAATCGCTGCCTCGGTGGCCCCCGGTTGCTGACTCTAAGTCTGGTGGGCTTCAGAAATGGCTTGGAAGCTAAAGCATAGGCAAAACGCAACTGCTGGACTGGTGTGTGTCCAGTCTGGCCATTGAGGGAGGCCGTGTTGAGGGTTCCCCTTGTGAGGGATGTGGAGCATGGACCTTCTCTCCGAAACCCTCCGTTTCTGGGGCCCTTCTTGCATTTTGCAAACAAGTTAAAGCAATTTCACGTTAAGATGTTTTTTGGTCTTTAATTCATCGGACGTCCTTTATTATGTGGCTTTTAATGGACCGCAAGCGGTATTTATTGCCATTGCTTTGTTCTTCCAATCCAAATCCCCAGAGTGGGATTGGAGCAAGCTATACATAGTATCAAAGAAATAATAATAATAAAAAATATGAACAGGTGGTAGCTGGAAAGTGAATAGGGAGATTTCTGCCAATTTTACTTGGTTTTAGAAATGCTTTTGTTCTAACAATACTTGAAGACAAAAATAAAGAAAAAGAAGAAAGGGAGTTAAAAGAGAATAAAGATTTGCAAAATATTAAAATGCAGACAGAACTTACAAAATGCAAGTCACACTAGACTGCTTAAGGTATCAGAATAATCAGACAAAAAGTTAGTCCTGGAGACCAAAACATGCGAAGAACGGTTGCGGGACTTCGGTTTGGCTAGTCTTTAAAGAAGAAATAGGGGAGACATGATAGCAGCGTTCCAGTATTTAAGGGGCTCCCACAAGGAAGAGGGGGTCCCATTCTCCAAAGCATCAGAGGGCAGGAGGAGAAACAATGATTGAAAACTGATCAAAGAGAGAAGCAACTTGGAATTAAGGAGAAACCTCCTGACAGTGATGACAGTTAATCAGTGGAACTGCTTGCCACCAGAAATCGTGGGCGCTCCATTGCTGGAAGTTTTTAAGAAGAGACTGGACAATCACTTTTCTGAAATGGTATAGGTTTTCCTGCTTGAGCAAGGGGCTGGACTAGAAGACCTCCAAGGTCCCTTCCAGCTTCTATTCTATTCTATTCTATTCTATTCTATTCTATTCTATTCTATTCCATTCTATTCCATTCCATTCCATTCTATTCTATTCTATTCTATTCTATTCTATTCTATTGTCTTGCTACTCTGCTCTACTCTACTCTACTCTACTCTACTCTACTATACTCTACTCTACTCTATTCCTTTTCTCTATTCCATTCCATTCCATTCCATTCCATTCTATTCAATTCTATTCTATCCCTTTTCTCTATTCTATTCTATTCCTTTTCTCCATTCTGTTCCGTTCTGTTCTATTCTATTCTATTCTATTCTATTCTATTCTATTCTATTCTATTCTATTCTATTCTATTCCATTCCATTCTTTAAAAACTACTATTTCAGAGGTTCACAATCTGTGGTCCCTGGAAACCTGAGGAGGCGGGGAGCAATGTCATCACAGGAGGTCTGTGAAGGCTTGAAGAAATGTTATGATTTAAATCTTGAGTTAAGTCTTGGAGGTCCGTGACCAGAAAAGTTATTTAAAGGGGGTCTGTGGTCAAGAAGAGGTTGAGAACCGCTGCACTGTTTAAATCGTATCAGCAGTTGACAAAAAGAGCAAAAATAATATATATGAGAATTTCTAATTAAGCTAGAACTGTTCCTCCTTAATGCTATAGCCAGCCAAACAAAATCTAATGTTGTAAAACCTTTTCTGGAACAAAACTCAAGCTTTGGATGTTCCAGATGGCTATGTGCATAATTATAATCCATAAAACAATTTCCAAATTTGGTTATAGTAAATACAGTTTTCAAACTTGGCCATTTCAAAATATATGGACCTTAACTCTCAGAATTGGGAGAAATAAATATGGCTGAAGAATTCTGGGAGTTGGTCCACCCATCTTAAAGCACGCAGGCTGGGGGATTCTGGGAGTTGACGCCCACCCCTTTTGAAGCATGCTGGCCAGGGGATTCTGGGAGTTGAAGTCCTCCACTCTTAAAGTATCCCGGCAGGGCAATTCTGGGAGTTGAAATCCACCCATCTTAAAGCACGCAGGCTGGGGGAATCTGGGAGTTGAAGTCCACTCATTTAAAAGCATCCTGGTTAGAGAACTGTGGGAGTTGCACTCTACTCATCTTAAAGTAACCAAGTTTGAAAAATGCTGAGTATCGGACTAATTTTTTAGTTAGAACATCATTTTTGACATAGACGTACATTCTTAAAGCTTAATCTGCCAGTCCTCTAATAATTGAAGGGGTTGAATGAAATATCCACTGAGAAGAAGCACAGAGCATCTTAGCTGTGTTCCTCACATACTTGAAGATCAGGGGTAACCAACCTTGGCCACTTTAAGACTTGTGGACTTCAACTCCCAGAATTCCCCAGTTGGCATAGCATTCTGGGAGTTGAAGTCCGCAAGTCTCAAAGAGGCAAATCTAGATAGCCTACTAAAAAGCAGAGACATCACCCTGCCAACAAAAGTACACATAGTCAAGGCCATGGTTTTCCCAGTTGCAATGAATGGCTGTGAAAGTTGGACCATAGGAAAGGCTGAGAAAGGCCAAAGAATGGAGGCCTTTGAACTCTGGTGCTGGAGAAGACTCCTGCGAGTCCCCTGGACTGCAAGGCAATCCAACCGGTCAGTCCTAGAGGAGATCAACCCTGTCTGCTCTTTAGAAGGCCAGATCCTGAAGTTGAAACTCAAGTACTTTGGCCACCTAATGAGAAGGAAGGACTCACTGGAGAAGGGCCTGATGCTGGGAAAGATGGAGGGCAAGAGAAGAAGGGGACGACAGAGAATGAGGTGGCTGGATGGAGTCACTGAAGCAGCAGGCGTGAGCTTCAATGGACTCCAGAAGATGGTAAAGGACAGGAAGGCCTGGAGGAACGTTGTCCATGGGGTCGCGAGGGGTCAGACACGACTTTGCAACTAACAACAACACATGTATATGTTTACATATCAGTTTTGTATCTTGGTGTTATCCAAGCTAAAGCATCTCCCAGGAGATAAAAATTCAACTGTCCCAGCTGTCTACAACTTGCTCATTAAAATTCAGGAAAAGCTTTCTAGGTCAATGGAAGACATTGAAGAATTTATTTGAATCCATTTGATTATGATAGTCTACATAGATAGAGAGGGAAATTTTAAGAAATATTGTGTGAATTGTATATTTATAATGGTAGAGGACAGGAAGGCCTGGAGGAACGTTGTCCATGGGGTCGCGATGGGTCGGACACGACTTTGCAACTAACAACAACAACAAGGCAACCTTGGCTCTTTTCTGACTCGTGGACTTCAACTCCCAGAATTCCTGAGCCAGCCATGCTGAGGGAAAGGGAGAGGTTTCCATGCTGAGCCATGCTGGCTGAGGAATTCTGGGAGTTGAAGTCCACACGTCATAAAAGAGCCAAGGCTTTAGATGGTCAATGAACCTCATGTCTCTGGCTTCTTAAGACATTTCTGCTTAAAAACGTTCTAGGCACTCTGAAGGTGCTGGAAGTTGTTGCACGAGAAGCGATGCCTCCTGACTCGGGGTGTGGGGAGGGTCCCCTCAATTTTAAGTCCCCAAGTCCTTGATCTTTTCCTTCCTCTCTTCCAGCCCTCTTCAACCTCATTCCAGTGGGCCTACGTGTGGTGGCTATCCAAGGGGTGAAGGCCGGCCTCTACGTGGCCATGAACGGCGAGGGGTACCTCTACAGCTCTGTAAGTGTCTTGGGGGGGGGCTTCTCCTTTTGACTTGGGGGGGGCAGTCTGGAGGGATTACAGGAAGGGGGGCTGCATCTGGGGAGATTTGCGTGGATAGCAGACACCTCTGTAGATTTGCAAACCTGCTTTCAGGAGTGAGAAGTAGGCTGACAATATTCGAGGCACTAACCAATGTTGGCTTCTTACAAATGATGCAAGCATTTGTATCAGTGGTCCTCGACTTATGACTGTTCATTTAGTGACCATTCAAAGTTACAACAGCACTGAAAAAAGTGGTTTTTATGACCGATTTTCCACACTTACGACTGTAGTAGTGTCCCTGATCAAAATTTGGGTGCTTGGCAACTGGCATGGACTCATGACTGTTGCACTGTCCTGGGATCACGCGATCCCCATTTGTGACCTTCCCAGCCAGCTTCCCGCAAGCAAAGTCAAAGGGTGGGGGGGAAGCTGGATTCAATTAACGGCCGTGTGATTCGCTTAACAACTGCAGTGATTTTACTTAATAACTGTGGCAGAAAAGGTTGTAAAATTGGGCAAAGTTCACTTAACAACCTTGCTTAGCAGTGGAAATTGGGGGTCAAGTGTGGTCGTATGTCGAAGACTACCTGTACCCCAGCTGTCTCTGGGCAGGAAGAGTGTGAAAGGATGGGGAAATTTGGATCAGCTCAAGTGGTTTTAAAATACGTTTATCTTTCTCTCTGTTTTTAAGCTTGCTTAGCATAAACCATCAAGGATGGTGTTGGTTTAGTTGGGATGACCTGTTGACTATTTATTTATATATATATAATTGAATGAAAGGTAGATAGATAGATAGATAGATAGATAGATAGATAGATAGATAGATAGATAATAGAAAATTGAATGAATGAATGATAGATAATGATAGAAAATTGAATGAAAGATAGACAGACAGACATACAGACAGATGGATGGATAGATAGATAGATAGATAGACGGATAGACAGATTGAGTTCCACATATGGAATATTTGTTTTTATATAGCATTTTTGATAAATACAGATGGGAAAGCTTATAACTATTTGTAGACCCGTCATGTAAGGGGAGCATAACCTATTTGGTTGTTTTTTAAAAAACGTATTTTTCAGCAGCTCGGATGGATTCTTTATGTTTAATGTTAGATTTATTGAACATTTGTGGTTTTTTTGTACATAAGACTTTATTTTCTTTTTGTTGATAGTGTTGGATGTTCGTTTTTCTGTTTTGTATTTTATTTTTATTGATAAAAATGTGTTGTTTTTTAAAAAAGGATGGTGCTGATGTCCAAGTATGAGTTCTTTTCTCTTACAGTGGTGACCCAGATATGCTTTCTGGAGCTTAGCATTCAGCTGGCCCCATACAGGAGATGCTCTAGGATAGGGGGTCTTCAAACTTGGCCCTTTTATGACTTGTGGACTTCAACTCCCAGAATTCCTCAGCCAGGCATGCTGGCTGAGGAATTCTGGGAGTTGAAATCCACAAGTCATGAAGGGGCCATGGTTCTTGCATGCTGGCTCAGGAATTCTGGGAGTTGAAGTCCGGAAGTCATGAAGGGGCCACAGTTCCCCCAAACTGGCTCAGGAATTCTGGGAGTTGAAGTCCGCAAGTCATGAAGAGCCATAGTTCTTGCATGCTGGCTCAGGAATTCTGGGAGTTGAAGTCCACTAATCATGAAGGGGCCAAGTTTGAAGACCCCTGGACTTCAACTCCCAAAATTCCTCAGCCGGGCATGCTGGCTGAGGAATTCTGGGAGTTGAAGTCCACAAGTGATGAAGGGGCCATAGATCCCCCGTGCTGGCTGAGGAATTCTGGGACGTCCACAAGTCATGAAGGGGCCAAGTTTGAAGACCCCTGATCTAGGATATATGGAGGCTTGGCTACTATCTGAGTTAAGTGAGGGCTTGTTGGGAGAACATCAAAACTGTTATCCTGAGTTGATAGTTCTGTGAAGCTGGATGCCTGGGCAGCTCGGCTGGTGTTACCAGATGTCTTAAGAAAGACCAGTTGGGAGACTGAGATTCTGAGCAAAATGGCTGTTGGTAGCATACACACCAGTGTGAACATAAGATATCCTTTATTGTCACTTTTTTTCTGTGAACACACATTAAAAAATAATATTCTGATGCCCGCTCTCAAACAAATATCTGTCTGTCTATCTGTCTGTCTGTCTGTATCTATCTATCTATCTATCTATCTATCTATCTATCTATCTATCTATCTATCTATCTATCTGTATCTATATATCTATATCTATATCTGTCTATCTATACACACAAACATATATACATATAGACATACCCATATATGCACACACATATACCTATGCTTTATATTTATGTATAGATACACACAGACATATGTATACATATATTTACAAAAAAGGTTACAAAATCTTTTTTGTAATACAAAATTGCAAAAAAAGATGCTGAGACTTTAAAAAAAAGTGCAAAGAAGAGCAACTAAGATGATTAAGGACTTGGAGACTTACGAAGAACGGTTGCAGGAATTGGGGGTGTCCAGTCTAGAGAAAAGAAAGACTAGGGGGGACATGTTAGCAGTCTTTCAGTGTTTGAGGGGCTGCCACAAAGAAGAGGGGGTGTGTGTCAACCTCTTCTCCAAGCCCCTGAAGGCAGAACAAGAAGCAACGGATGGAGAAACTAACCAAGGAGAGAAGCAACCTGGATTTAAGGAGAAACTTCCTCACAGTAAGAAGAATTAAGCAGTGGAACAACTTGCCTCCAGAAGCTGTGAATGCTCCAACACTGGAAGTTTTCAAGAAGAGGTTGGACAGCCATTTGTCTGAAAAGGGTACAGGGTCTCCTTCTTGAGCAGGGGTTGGACTAGAAGACCTCCGATGTCCCTCCCAGCTCTATCCTGATTGAAGTCTCCATTGGGACAGAGGAGATTCAGGCTGAAAAGGAGCCGATAGGCTGCAAAGCAGAAATTACAGCTCTGGGTTGCACTTCAAAGGGAAGGAAGATTATGCAGAAGTTGTTTTTTATGAAGGTGGGTGTTTCCCCCCCCCCCCAGAAATAATGGCGAGTTTGTTCCTCTGTGTGTGTGTGTGCACGCGCGCGTGTGCATTTCTGCATTCATCTCTCTTAAATAGCCTCTGGTCCCGGTGGAGAGCTTTCATCTCCCACCTTAGTTTATCCTCCTTTTATTCTGCTGCAACTCTTTGCGTGAAAATAAACAGCAGCCCAGAGAGGGAAGGGTTGGGCAGTGGGTTGACCAGGCTATAATTACTAAAATTCTAGATTGTGCAGAAATGGATAGATTAACATTGGAGATGAAAGAGAAAGATGATTCAGTTTATTTTAAAACTTGGGAAAATTTTTACCAATGGTTAGAGACGCATTGGAATCTGAAAAGACGCTAATATTATAGAATAGATCAGTGTTTCCCAAACTTGACAATTTTAAGGCATGAGGACTTCAACTCCCAGAATTCCACAGCCAGCGTTGCTGGCTGTGGAATTCTGGGAGTTGAAGTCCACATGCCTTAAAATTGTCAAGTTTGGGAAACACTGGAATAGATGATGGATGTTTAGTTGAGTTATAATAGTTAGTGGGTTGACAACATCTTTATTTTTAGTGATTTTCAATCGTTAATGTCGACGATTATGATTAGTTGAGATTTTATTAATTACATTTATTTACATAGATGAATTTTATCTGTTTATTAATCATTAGTAATATGGTTATAGTTAACCTTATTTTAAAATGGCGGAATATGATATAAATTATGTTTATTTACTATTATGATCCGGACGGTAGCTTGTTTGTTAAAGCATGAGATTATTGTACCTACCCTTTTTCCATCCCAATTTCCCATCCCCTTCCCTCCCCTTCCCTGTATTGTTCCCACGCTTTCCTCATTTATATAAATCCAATAAAATATTTTTTTTAAAAAAGGGGAGGAGAGAGGAGACCACTGTAGCCCAGCAAAAAGTTTTCCTATCTCTCCAGTTGTGTCAGAACAATTTCAGACCCGCTTTGCCAAGGATGGTGCATTTTCACCCCTGTCAAGGCTGGTTTTATTTCTTAGAATGTCCTCCCTGTTGAGCAATTTTTCCTTTGTTCTAGGCTATTTCTCTCCTTGATTAGATTCCATCCATCACTGTTAGAGAGGCGGGCTGGCAAGGGAAGAAGGCAACGGTCAGGCACCAGGAAAAAAAAATCCTGGATGGCTTCCCCGAGATTTTGGCAGAAGAGATCTCCTCTGCTCCCCTTGGAAAGCAACTTTTCAAGCAAGGAAAGAGATTCCTGTCTGGGCAGTCGCAAATTTACAGCCTCGCCTCCTTCCCACTGCAGATTCTTTCACAGTCTTCTTACAAGATTCGTTTTTCTCGCCAGGCACTTGGATGCCTATCCCCGGGCTGGGCTGTGTCATTTCTCTGTGTCATATAATATAGGTCGGTCTATGCATAGTTCTGTATTTGTTTATTTTTGTCATATTTATGTAGTGTTTATCGGAGATGGTGACCCTTTGAGAGCTGAATGCAACGAAATTTTTGTCATATTTATGTAGTGTTTATCGGAGATGGTGACCCTTTGAGAGCTGAATGCAACGAAATTTCATTTTAATGTATGCCGATTAGTGTACATTCAAAGTGACAATAAAGTTGTTATTCCATTCCATTCCATTCCATATTTTCTATTCTATTCTATTCTATTCTATTCTATTCTATTCTATTCTATTCTATTCTATTCTATTCTATTCTATTTTTAAGAAGAGACTAGACAATCACCTGTCTGAGATGGTATAGGTTCTCCTGCTTGAGCAGGAGGCTGGACTAGAAGACCTCCAAGGTCCCTTCCAGCTTCTATTCTATTCCTATTCCTATTCCTACTCCCAGTGCTTTTTTTCTAAAAAAAAAAAAAAAAAAAAAGGTGCCGGAATTCACTCACGTCCTACAACCCACCTTGCAGAACTCTGTTCTGCGCGTTCTATGAGAAAAAAAGCTCTGCCTATTCCTATTCCTATTTCCCAGAATA